CAGTATATTCTTTGTTTTTCGGATTATATGTTGAAATATATGGTAAAATATTTTGTCCTTTGATGTTTCTTTAACTTGATGTTACGGTGTCGCAGGAATTTTTAATGCTTTCTAAATACCATATGTTTAACTTCAGTCTTTAATACGTTTTTATCAGATACAACCGCGCACATTTTGCTTTCAAGCGAAAAAGAAAAATTGAGTTTGTATATATTTTGGATGATCAAAAATTTAAATATTGTTTAGAATAAGTGTTTTTAAAATATAACTTAGTGATTACATTATTGATAAGAAAGATTTAGAAATTTTACCTTACTTCAAGTTAAAGACAACTCAAAAGATCAAAAGATTTTAAATGACAATTTGCCGAAACAAGGTAAACAATATACTAAACTAGAAATGTGTCGTCATGCCACAGATGCTCCTGCATGCAGTCAAAATTTCAAATGATATAATATTGAGTTCAAATATTGTTGTATAAACTATCAAATTGATAAGTGCAAAGCCCTTCAACTATTCAAAATTCACGCAAACCATTTTTGTTTTGCAAAGTTCAAGGCCATGAAACTTTTCTGTGTTAACCTTTTGCATATTGCTTATTTGTAGCCGAGATAATGACTACATACATATCCAGAAAAGTAAAAGTGCGGAAGTTGAATTTTATTCCAACGCGATATAACAATCATCATCGAACCATGACCACATTGAAATTTGGTCTGCTTATTCAAAAGATGTATCAATGTGCCAAATTTGAGTTGAAAGTATATAACTGTTAAGGAGATAATAAACGGAATCTAAAATATCTTCTTTTTTCAAAGTTATGGGCATAACTTTGTCAAAAAACATAGAACAATTACCAAATTCGAACGGGCCCTGCATATTTCTATGCCATATCCAAATATTAAATTTGAGTTGAATGTGTTGGTGGATAATGGACAAAAACTAAAATGTCTTCTGTTTCTAACTTAAAGGGGAATAACTCTGCCAAAAATCATCAAACCATGGCCATATTTGAAGTTGACCTAATAGATGTATTTCTGTGACGTATCCATATGTTCAGTTTGAATGTGTACAGCTGTTGGAGAGAAAATGAACGGCACAGAAAATGTCTAAGACTTTATTTTTCAAAGTGAAAGTGGCATAACTCTGCCAAAACTTATGAAACCATGATTAAATTCGAACTTAACCTACGCAATTTTTTGACGTATCCATATGATTATGAACTTTTAGCTGAATGTGTACTACCGTTGAAGAGATAATGAACGGAATTTTTTTCTTATTTTGACTCAAAGCGAAATGGGCATCACTCTGCCAAAAATCATCTAACCATGACCAAATTCGAACTTGACCTACGCATCCCTATGATGTATCCATATGTAAAAATTTAGATGAATGTGTACTACCGTTTGCAAGACAATGAACAGAAACGGAACATTTCTTAATATTTAATCAAGGAGTATCACTCGGTCAAATACCATGGGACCATGATCAAATTCAAACTGTGCCTGCATTTCCTATGATTTATACATAAATTATGTCAAATTTAAGTTGAATGTATGCAAACATTACTAAGATAATGAACGAAAACTGTTGATTACGGAATGACGGAATGTCGAAGGGACAGAATGACGGTATATGTTTGGTAAAGCTTTATTTACTAAATTAGAGATTTTTGTGATCGGATTTCTGAGATAGACAAATTTCTACCATTATTCTAGACATGTTTAAGAACATAATACAACAAGTTTGAGAGAGGAAATAAGAACGGCGAGTACATCTGTTATTTAATATATCACGCTTCCGTCCTTAGTAAAATCTCAAATTGTGTTAGAATTGTTGGTATAATTTATGAAATATGATAGTTATGTAAGTATTAGACGACTTACGGTGGTAGATGTTATTAGTTACAGATGATTGATCAGAGTCGATATTTCAGCAATAGATTATTGATGATAGTCGATGTATAAGTTATAGATTATTGATCATGGTCGATGCATTAGATAATGATAATTGATGTTGGTCGATGCATTAGTTATAGATGAATTATTACAGTCGATGTATTTGTTATACTATATGGCGATTGATCTTAGTCAATGAATTAGTCATATATAATTGATGAAAGTCAATTAGTTAGTAATACATGTATATGATTGATCATAGTCGATGAATAAGTTATAGATAATTGATCATAGTCGATGAATTAATTAGTTATAGATAATTGATGAAAGTCAATTAATTAGTAATATATGTATATGATTGATCTTAGTCAATGAATTAGTCATATATAATTGATGAAAGTCAATTAATTAGTAATACATGTATATGATTGATCATAGTCGATGAATTAGTTATAGATAATTGATCATAGTCGATGAATATGTTACAGATGATTTATGACACTAGTTTAACTGTAAATGTATTAGTTATGGATAGTCAATGTATCATTATATAACTAGTATAGGTATAAATCAGTTAATAATGTTAGATTTGCTAACATTTCCGTTCCTGACATTCTTTAAATGTTAATATGTGTCATTCCGGAAAATTAAAATTCCATTTTTACTCTAAAAACAATGTAGCATCACCTTTATACTTTTTAAAAGTTTTATATTGATAAAAACTTGAAAAATATTGATCTTTGATATTTTTTTATTAAAACAACATTTTTTCAATTAATGTATATTTTTACCCTATTATGTAAACTTTTGAAGTTAAAATAGTTTAATAATTTGATTTTTGTATCACATTTCGTCAAAAATCAACATAGAATAAACAATTTGTTCATTTGAAATAAAAGAAAAAGTCAGTTACCACTATTTTGGCAAAAAATATACTAATATTTGATTTTTTTAATCTTAAAATATAAGGAATTGTGCCTGTAACGGTTAGAAATTCATAAGATTTAAAACAACATTACAATCATTTGAATATGATATTATTTGTTTGAGGGAGTAAAATAAGCATATATAGCCAGTATACTTAATATGACAAACATCGTAATCGAGGGAAATATTAACTAATAATATTCTTAACATTACCAATTTAAAGTCACTGTGTAAATTAAACTACAGCTTAGATGATATTTTGAGTATTAAAATGCAAAACCAACTTTGTTTATGATTAAGACGTGTTATAATTAAGTTTGAAGGATAAACATAATCGATTTCCGTAAGTTGTGTATATAGACTAAGTATAAATAGCTATTAACATATAGCCAATTTGTATAGTCAATGAATTGTCAAAAAACGGAAAATACCTGACACTTCTTTTAATTTCAGTTTCTTAAAGTTCAATAATGCTTCAGAAATGTCATTAATTTCGTTTCTTAATTTTTTATCTTTCATATCTTGTTTCAGTTCCGAAAAATACTGGTTTGCTATATGCTTGAAAGTGTGTTGGCAATAGCTATAAGTAATTTGTATGGAAGTCAAAATATGTTTACAATTTGCTACCTTTGCAATACATTAGGGAACGTTTAGTCGTTCTTTTATTTTTAGTTGTTTAACATCTTAAATGCTTTTAATCTAGTATTAAAGCATTATTAAACAAATGTTTGACATTTATTTCTAATGAACTGAAAAATATGAATTTGTGAGGCATAATGTACTTTTAAGCAAGTTCACACATTCGATAAAATTAATTTTTAGTCTCAATGGTATTTTTGGCTCTCTATTAATATGGAATCCATATCTATTTGCATTCAGTTTATGAATAGAGCATCTAAGTGCTGATTAAATAATTGATTTACATGATTGTATCATTTTGGAAAAGAATATACACATATGTGAGAAGTCTGATTCCAAACTGCCTAGAACGAAGGCTAAAAAAACTTATTACGTACTCATCAAATATGAAATTGATCCGATCGCCAACTTTCCATTCATCTCCAGATATTAAACACAGTTTTCCTCCCTGAAAAATCCTTAAGATAAAAAGATCATTTCAAATTATAGGAAAATACAATTTGCTTTTCCCCATAATGTGCATTCCTAATTATTGATTTGCTTACTGAAATGTAAATTTTTTCTAACAGCATTAATGCCCATGCTTCATTGCACATTGCTGCTTATCTAACAAAATTAACATTGCAAATGCGAATTCATGATATTGCTTCATTGCACAAAAGAATAAAATATGTTACCTTTTTCTGATCACACATCAATTGCTTCTTTTTATATTAAAATGTATGCGCTATTACTTAATTACATATTTCTATATATTCAATAGAATCATTTTTCCAATAACAAATAATCATGCTAATATTGCTTAATTACACATAGCTTGTCACTTAACATAATTCATGTAAATGATAACCCAATAACGTTTTTGTCTTTAATTATAAAAAAATGAAACTTTGTATGAGTGACAAACAATTATTAAGCTACTAATTGACGTAGAACACGTTCCCGTGCGATATATATATATATATATATATATATATATATATATATATATATATATATATATATATATATATATATATATATATGACGTAATTTGAGCGTCGCACAAGCGTCAAAGACGCGGTAAGCCTAGATAAATAGCGAGTATATATATAAAGATATAGAATTAGAGAAAGAGAACGGGAAAGAAAATCCATGAATAGTTATGTGAAGTTTACAGTGAATTAGATGTTTCATTTAGTACAGTTTATAAATGCATTTCTAGATAATCGACACAAAGTAGTTATGAGTTATTAAAAAATAGTTATGAACAAGGGTGTATCTAGTGTAACACATTGAAATCATAACTTGCTAAAAGCAAACATAAAAGCTCACGCAACGGACCAAACGCAGGATCTGGCTTTTCGTAAGGTACTCATTCATTTTGTTGACTTTTAGAATCTTCAATTTCATAACAATAACAAGACATGCATTTTTATCAGACGACATATATTTCAGATTGCAAAAGTTAACTATACTTTAAACTGAATCACTTAAACTTAATAAGTATCTTGAACTTCAATGTGCATGTATCTTTATGAGTCTGGCAGAGTTATATTAATTTGATATCATATTCCATTCAATCGCCTTAAAATCTACGGTAAGACTGAATCCTAACAATATAGCAATAAACACGTACTCGCCGTTTGAATGGTATCCGTAAGAATTAAGTCCTAATCCGGGTAGACGATTAGTACGAAAGCCATCCGGTACCAAACCTAAACCTGGAATAGAATTATGTCGTTTGTGTTATGTTATTCTGATAAAATGTAAAACAGTCATACATTGAATTAAAATGAAAACACTCGGAAAGCTTGAATGGCTTACGTATACTATAATGCATATGTGTAAAAACAAACAAAAGAAATGGGTCATGGAGTTCACTGTTGACAAGTCAAATTGATAATCAAACAATCAATTAAAACAATTATGATAAAAAAAATGTTAATCTTCATGAGTTTTTTGCTTATATTGCTGACAGATTATAAAATTCAGCGTTTACTTACATTTTAAAATGAATTAATTATTACTCTAAGTCATTCGGTAATATATTCTAAAGTAACGTTCATTGTTCCATTAGTCATTTTTATTTTTTGTTTGTTGATAGGGTACCCTTGTTTAGCTCAAATTTATCATACAAGAGCGATCAGTTATCTGATCACATGTGTCGCCTCATGATGGCCAATTTCATGTTGGGACAAGTTTTGTGACAGACGGACAGACAGACGGACAGTGCACAACTAGACTTGGTACTGATCATTCCTGTAAAGTTTGGATGAAATTGCACCGGTAGTTTATGAGGAGTAGTCCGGATAAGCTTTTGTGTATCTGGCAACACACATAAAAAACACCTTTTTATCAAAGGGCCAAAACTCGGCCAAAAGTCATTCAACCGGAAATCCCCTGCAATATGCGCAAGGACTTAAGCTACAAATCAATCCTGTAAAGTTCCATTGAAATTGCATCAGTGGTATAAGAGCAGTTGTCCGGACAAACTTTAAAAAAAAATTATTAAAGGGCCATAACTCTGACAAAAATCATTGAACCGGGAAATGCTGACAATATGCACAACTAGACTTGGTACTGATCATTTCTTTAAAGTTTGAATGAAATTGCACCAGTAGTTTATGAGGAGTAGTCCGGAAAAGCTTTTGTGTATCTGGCAACACACAAAAAAACAAGCAATTGTCATAGTATTGCAAGCAATCCATAAGTCCCCTACCAGTTAGAACCCCATCAACATTCTGAAGGGCCATTGGCCATTCACTAATGTTTCAATTTTTCTCTATTTTAAGAAAATTTGTTGGAAAAGTTCTTTAAAAGTGATCACAGGATACAGTTTTTATGAACAGACAGACAGACGGACTGAAAGACACTCTAAAGTTAATATTTGAAACATCCCTGTTACCAAAATATACCATTTTAAAAGCAAAATTCTTAAAGAGGAGATAACTCTTGAATTAAAGATGCAATTTCATAAAAATGTTCAGCTCTTTTTGACTAATCACAAATATTGTTATATTTGCCATGTTTTAAGCCTATTTGTTGCCAAGGCAACTGATATTTTTTCAAAATAGGAAGAACAGATAAGGCATGCATAATCTCAAGACTGCTATCTACCCATATGTCAAGTTTCATAAAAATATTTCCAGTACTTTTTGAGTTATCACTGGATTCAGTTTATGTGTAAAATTTGCCATATTTTCAGTATATGTGTTGCCATAGCAACCAGAATTTTCAACATAGGAAGAAAAGAAAAAAACGTGCATAATCTCAAGACTGCCATCTACCCATATGTCAAGTTTCATAAAAATATTTCCAGTACTTTTTGCGTTATCACTGGATCCAGTTTATGTGTAAAATTTGCCATATTTTCAGCCTATTTGTTGCCATAGCAACCAGAATTTTCAACATAGGAAGAAAAGAAAAAGACGTGCATAATTTCAAGACTGCCATCTACCCATATGTCAAGTTTCATAAAAATATTTCCAGTACTTTTTGCGTTATCACTGGATCCAGATTATGTGTAAAATTTGCCATATTTTCAGCTTATTTGTTGCCATAGCAACCAGAATTTTCAACATAGGAAGAAAAGAAAAAGACGTGCATAATCTCCATACTGCCATCTATCCATATATCAAGTTTCATAAAAATATTTTCAGTTCTTTTCAAGTAATCGCGGGATCCAGTTTTGCGGACGGACGGACTGACAGTCAGACAGACGGACAGACAGACAGACGGACAGACGGACGGAGGGTAAACCTAAAGTCCCCTCCGGTAAACCGGTAGGGGACTAAAAACACCTTTTAATCAAAGGGCCATAACTCGGCCAAAAATTATTCAACCGGAAATCCCCTGCAATTTGCGCAAGGACTTGAGCTACAGATCAATCCTGTAAAGTTTCATTGAAATTGCATAAATGGTATAAGAGAAGTAGTCCGGACAAACTTTAAAAATAAAAATTATTAAAGGGCCATAACTCTGACAAAAATCATTGAACCAGAAAATGCTGACAATATGTACAACAAGACTTGGTACTGATCATTCCTGTAAAGTTTGGATGAAATTGCACCAGTAGTTTATGAGGAGTAGTCCGGACAAGCTTTTGTGAGGGACGGACAGACAGACGGACAGACAGACGACGGAGAAGTGATCCCTTTATGTCGCCACTACTCCGTAGAGACGACACAAAAAGAAATGCAAAATGTCGCGCTTAAGGTAGTGGAAATTTAGACGAATCTACATAATTTTAAGATTCCTTAAGCATTTAAACAATTGGCTCATAATACTTTTGATAAAACGTAATCGTATATAAATTGTTACCCATTCCTTTGCCACTACCAAGGCTCACAATTTCGACTTCAAAATTTTCATTTAAATACACCGTCTTCTTGTCAATAAATAAACCGAGGTCACCTTTTGCCTTTTCAGCATAACTGAAAAGCAAGTATAAGGTTAAGAGTTCCTGCCAAAATGGCAACTTTCAAGAGATGCATGTCAATAAAATAAATTAGTATCCTCTGTTTTCCTTCACACGAATTTTTATATAACCTGGCTATATTTTATTTTCAAACAATATCTACTGATTCCATTTACAGGATTGAGTTGGTCCACAATAGAGGTTCTGTAATAACAAAAATGGTTTATTGAAAGCAGGTAGCATCATACTTCGCAACAAACTATTGATAATTTATCCATGTGTTTTCTTTGTTAAAAGACAGATGCATTTTCATGATGCAATATTACATATTAATTCATGGAGGATAACATGTGCTGAAAGAAATAATTATCATTCATTATAATTTAAAAGCTTATAATAAATCAACATATTTTTTTCAAGAAATATCCAAATAAAACATTAACATGTAACTAACTTATTTACGTTGTGCGCATTGTATACCACTAATCCCTTTATCTTATATTATTCCACATATACGTATATAGTCACTCGTTATAAATACCAAATCTCACTAGGGTGACAAAACAGTATGTTCAAACAAAAGAGATGATGCAATCGAGGTGGTATTATATTTTCAGGATGGACATATTGTTTTACAACTCGCAATGGTTTGTGATATTTATTTCATTATAATACCGAATATTTGATATTAAAAACGATAACATCTAGTTACTAACATTTATCAAGTGGTATACACATAAACTCGTCTAGTGGAATCATATTTCCATAAGTTAGATACTAAATAAGATGCTTTACTTCATCATGTGTAAATCCTAATATGTAAATGATCATGTATGATAGTAATTTATCTTTGTTCTGACAAACTTAGTTCATTTCTTCATGTTTGATGTATTAACAATTATAAGACACCGCGCATGAAAACAGTTATATATTTTGCAGGAAAAAATTATATGATTTATAATAGAACTGTTTGTTTACCCATTAAACACTTACTAGTGAAATTAGTTGTTTTAAGTTACCTGATAAATTCCCCGTCAATACTGAGGTTTTTGCAAACAAGCTGCCTGCCCAGGAACGGCTGAAATCAAAATATAATGCAAAATAAGAAAATTTTAATTTCTGTATTAAAACAAATAAGCACACTTAACATTAACAATATATTCTATTCTTATTCCGTGATGATTTGATTCGTCGTTTGTGTAAATTACAGATGAAAGTTACAACACATGCAGATAATATAGGATACTCACTTGTTTTTTTGTTGAAGACTGATCCGATGTAACCGATGTCGCTCTATTTGCTTTTACTGTTTCTTCTCTAAGTGCTGGTTTATGAAAAAAGAAGGGACACAAAATGAATATAGCAATGTCCAAAGTAATTATAAAAACGTTTATTGAAACATCGGCTTACTGTACACCTTTTAAGAATATTTCTTTGATTAATCTTAAAATTAAATATAGTAAATGTAGCTTTAATTTGATAACATGTTTTATTTTACGCGTTTATTAATAGGACCCGTATATCATAAATATAAAACAATAATATTGTTTAAGCATGCAAGTATCATCCAAAATTATTTTGACGATTAGATATTTACCGGCAGATTTATTTAGTGTATGTATTGTTCCTAGCTTATTACAAGTTTTTATCAGCTGTTCGAGTTTATAGTCACGCTTGAAGTCATACGATTTGATCGTATTGTTTTCTTTGATTCTTTCTAGCTGTTCGTGGACAAAATGAAGATTTTGTTTGTATGACATGGAACTGATGAACAATTTGTAGGGCTGATCAGCGTCAGATTGCAATGTGTCTAACATACCAGTTGTTTCATCAACAAGTCTTTTATTTTCTGTTTCTATGTTTTCGAGATTTTTCATGTCTGCTGCCATGATATCATCACCATATTTAAGCATTACATCGGTATGTCTCCTGATAAGTGATATAATTTTATCACTGTACAATTTGACGTCACGAGAAAACTTTTTGTTGACGTCTTTTACGTGGTCCTTGTTGTGCTTGATGCTTCCCAACATCGTGTTTGCTTCACTGTTATACTTCACTATGTCCTTTTTCAACATTTTGAAATGTTTACTGTCTTTATATCCATCTGAGTGTTCAAGTATAAACTGTACTTTACAGGGTTTGTGGGAGATAACCATACAATCGCCACAACCTACTTGGCTATGTTCGGGACAGACAAATTTGATAATCTCGTTCAAATGTTTAGTACATGTATCAAAGCTTGTTGCATTTCCTTTAATAGATGTTGCCTCGACAGATGAGACACGTGTATGTGACTGATTAAGCTTCCACTGTTTATGTGTATCAAAACATGTTAGACACATTTCTTCTTCACACTGTGAACAGAAACCATCTGAGAATGTCGTTGTCTTGCGCTTCTCACAAGGTGCACAGTAATTACGCTTCTGTTCCGATACCTCCATTTTGCATGGTCAAAGTTCTGAAAATAGCATTTTCAATTTCATATAAATGAGATTTTTTTTACCTAATTCTACATTTCATTTTATAACATGGCGTCGTGATGGATTTTGATTGTCCCTCTGACATTCCTTGATAGAAAATTGCCAAAGTCAAAGTTTGGTAAATAAACCTGGAAACAAATAAATTCCCCGGAAGCATTAATCACAACAAAATTATACGAAAATTGCAGACCCTGTTTGATCGAGTCTGTACATAAGGGATAATGAATAAGTGCAACATCCCTCACGTCCATAGCACCGGTTTAGGATATGTGGCCTGCTTTTTAAATGTGTCTTTTGACGTCATATCTGTGATATGCAGGCTTCATAACCTCAGATCCCCTTTCAAAATTACATGTTATTTAGTTCCGCCCATTGTTTTCTCGTTTAGGGCACATGCATTTTTTTACTTAGGGACCATATGCCGCTTTTCATGGAATGGCACTAACGTGTCACATTGAAGGTGCCTTGGTATCCGCCATATGAACGCATCTGCGGATGTTTCAAAATTCTAAATTTACCAGTTCATGAAATGCGGCATATGGTCCCTAAGTAAAAAAATGTGTGTGCCCTAAACGAGAAAACAATGGGCGGAACTAAATAAAATGGAATTTTGAAAGGTGGTCTAAGGTTATGAAGCCTGCATATCACAGATATAACATCAAAAGACAAATTTAAAAAGCAGGCCACACATCCTAACGGTGATTCAACAGTATTCAATTGACAAATACTAGAACCACCCAACAAGAAAGATGCCGAATAGAAAGAACTCAAATATCACAAGCACAACAATAATGCCGCGCTGAGCAATCTTTAAGGATCTGAAATATAACATCTATGATTTAATGTACGGGGCGACTATTTACAGCCTCCACACGGCACAAACAACGCTGTTGTGGCGACAAAATAGAGAGAAATAAGAATCCCTACAGAAAGCCCAACACGGCAAAATTGAAAATGTTGCAGGCTCGGTTTGAATGTGCCTGTTCATGGACGGTACTGTCAAGTGCAAACTACCGTCAACGCCCGCTAGAACCGCTTAAGAAGAATTCAACATTCAACATAAACTGGTAAAATTTAGAATTTTGAGACATCCGTAGATGTGTTCATATGGCGGTTATCATGGAACCTTCAATGTGACACGTTAGTGCCATTCCATGAAAAGCGGCATATGGTCCTCAAGTAAAATACTGCGTGAACCCTAAACGAGAAAACAATTGGCGGAACTAAATAAAATGGAATTTTGAAAGAGGATCTAAAGTTTTGAAGCCTGCATATCACATATATGAAGTCAAAAGCCGAATATGAAGCAATTGTAAAGTTTTGAATTTGAAACTTCCTGTCAGATTTGTTTAACAAACAATATATGGATCAATTTTCCCATTATGTTTTCCTCCCATAAGTTGTAATGGGGTATTTATCAAATTACATTTAATGGTGTATTTCGATTTTACCCCATTCTAATTTTGGGACATTTCTCCAAATTCCTTAATGGGTTAGTCCCGCTAATGGGAGGATTATAAATCCCTTACATACTTGTAAGTTTATTGTAAGCATACGCAGTGTATAATCATTACATGTGAAAATATTTTTTCATCTTTTATGAAATTAGTGTTTAATCGAACTGGAGCACCAATGGGACAAGTAAACTCCAAAGGGAGAATGGCAAAATCCCATGTGATGCCACCCTTAAAATGCTTGCCGAGTGCTTAATTTCTGTGCTATCTTTTTTATTCTTTATTGAATTTATATTAGAAAAGGTAGTTGCGTTTGCGAAAATTCCGGAGGCTGTTTATGTGTTAGTACAGATTAACTCATCAAATACTTCCTTTAGTTTATGGTAACTATGAAAAAACAATCAGAATAATGACAATAATTGTAAGCGGTGTTCGGTTTATAGAGAATTAATTTTAGTTTAATTGTGTAGGAAGCTATATGATAATAGACGCACTTTCGAATCCGTTCCCGGAACCAACAATGAGCAATGAGAGTAATGATTCTTGATAACGGAAACAACGGTTTGCTCCTGATGGGGTTTGAACCCATACGGCTAGCGACTTCTGCATTACTAGCCGACGGGTTAACCACTCGGCAATGCCGCTATTTCTAAATAACTTTACGTTGAATATATATTTATCTACAATTTAATTGAGAGGAAGTAGAGTAGATATAAACAGAGCTTCATGTAATATGTTTATTTGGAAAAATAATAAAATAAAGGATTATGACCTATGCTTCACATTGAAAGTATATGTCTGAGATTAATATTCTAAAAAGAACTTAACAGTTACCTTAAATTTTACATGTTAACCGTTTAATGTTGTTATATCGTATAATTTATCAACAATAGATTGTTTAAACTATTATATTATTTTCACGCTTATAAATCATTTTAAAGTTTACCCTGCCCTTGAAAAAGTCTACAAACCGTTTCACAATCAAACACACACAGATCGATTTGTTTAAAACATGACATACGACACTTCTTTATTTCAAATCATTGTAATATTAAACCAATTCTTATGGTTTTTGTCATTGATAAGCTTTAGCAGTATAAACTACTGATTTGGAAATATTGACACCATTTTCATGATATAACGTAAATAGACTTACTGTGGAATTGAGAATACATGCTTTTACCAGCTAATATCGTAGGTACAAAAAAACGTTAACAGTAACAGCTTCGAAATAAGCGAAACAGGTGGACTGATATATTGTGATGGGATGTACATTGTGAAGCTAAAACGATAAAAGTTAGTTTGTACCTACAGATTAGTTAGGAAACCCCAATTTGCAAAATTCCGGATAAAGTTTATGATGTAAAATTGTTTTGATAATCATGTACCTTGGTATAGAACTTATAGTTATTTCATGTCGTCATTATAATATTGACTATCATGCATGACAACCTGCGTATCTTGATTATCTGATATATTCTCATGTGCATTTCTTCGTATATTTATGTATATTCTACAAAATATGTTTATAATGGTTAAAACCCGTATGTTCACGAAAGAAAAACAAACAATAATTATCACTGTTCGTTTATATTCTTAGACTTTAAGAAAGATGTTAACGTGGAATGCTGTTCAAAGAACAGTTCATTCACGTAAGAGTAAATGGTATGTGATCAAGAAAGAATGAAAAACATGACATCGTTTCAACATTTCTTTGCAAAATTATATCTTACTATAGGTAAAATAATCAATAATCAACGTAACCAACGAACATTTATATAATATCGATTAGAATGTTTCGGCAATGCTACATTCTTAAAAAGAGTATGACTGCTTTCCTATAATTCATGTTAGCTTAATGTAATTATATAATAAACATTGTTCATTATCAGTTATAGTTCAATCGCCATTACAAGAGCACATCTTTTAAAATGTACCATTAATTCAACATTATTTCACAACGAAAAAAGAAAAATCAATAGTGTTTATTCAAATTTATTCATTTACGAAACGACGTATTTGCATACATCGACAACATGGAATAACTGACTAAACTCCTCTCAACTGTGATACAACTATTGGTGTCGAATTTGTAGTACTGTATCAATACAATATACCTGCTTTAAAGTATTATATATTCACTTAAAATATGTGTTATTTTAAATAGTTGTTATATTAAATCCTTTGAGCTGATTGTGAGTTACATACGTTTAAAATACGTTACCATTCAAATCTTCATAGATGATAAACAAACATAATGCTTAAGCACATCTAATATGTTTAAAAGTTTTTACCTGCCACTTAATTAGTTTTTAAAGCGGTTGTATATAACGGTCCGCAAATCGGTAACATATAAACATTCACTGCGAAATAGAAAATAAACATGATAGACTTTAAGCATTGGGTTACATTAATCGATTGTACAGTTGGGTAAACATTCCTTCAAGGGGAACAGCCATAACTAAATAGTGAATACATTTGACGAGATTATCTTTCACAAATTATGTCAATCATTTCAATGAATTTAGTTTAATCATCGGTGCATTTTGCTATCATTTTTGTAACAAACTTATCTTTCGATGAATAAATAGTATCAACATAGAGCCGTTATATACTTTGAAAAAATCAATAATATAATAGAAATTAAACAAGTGACTGTTTTGAGATCAAAGAATGTGTTTCTGTCGGATAGGACTAATTTAAATTTTGTTGATCTTGTTTATCATATTTTATGTGACTGCAAATTTAACGAAAAGCGTCTTAACAATTCAGTCTGTTGTTAAAAAATGTTATGGTCTTATTTTCTAAATTGCATTTATAACAATGATAAATAAATGAAATTTGCATTGTACATGCACTTAACACTAACATGATAGTGATAGTATAATAAAGTGACATTATGCCCATCTTAGGGTATATAGTGAGTAAACAGGTAAAAGTCAAAATAAGTTTACATTTAGCCATTATGTTTTCAATATTATAATTCACTTTTTTCATGAGCTATTGATAACACATATGGCCCAAGGAAATTTCTAAAAATATCAATGTAACGTTCAATTTATTAAAAGAGTGGGGCAGTCTTTTTTATATTTTAAGCAAATTAATATTTTACCCTAAAAATTTTCCAATATCCACTGTTGGTCAATCACCATTATAACAGCCAATCTTATGAAATATATAATCTATTCGGCGCAACATGACAAAGATAAATTGAGCATAATGTCACTTTAAGCAAACACATGCTTGTAATAAGGGTAAATATTATATTGAAAAGAAACTAAACTATCTGATATTCAATTCTATATAACTTTAAATTGCCTAAGCAAAAGGTGTTTAACCTTCATTGATGAAGTAGTATTTTTTCCATTTTATTTCTAGCATGAAAGGTAATGAGTAAATGAGTTTTCAGATCAGTGTCCGATTGAATTTGGATAACAATGTGATAATATGTTTTTGTATCAGTTGGATGTATAAACCAAATATCTAAGTTGTATGGGAAGATAATGATCATCATTTATTGGATAATACCCTTGTGAAAAATAAATAATTTCATACAAATTCTCGAGGCTGAGGAATGAGATGTTATTTTGTCTCGTCTACTGATGATTTTTTATTGATTGTTGTGATTAATGCTTCCGAGTGATCACATTGTTTCCAGATTTTTATACTTCACAACAACAGGTGTCAAGTGCTGTGTACTTCACTTCAGTGTTGTTATATTTTTCTGGTCCTTCGGGATCATTGATGCCGCCAGCACTATTAAGTGTTGAGAATTGAGTACCGCTCAAGCCGGTGCTATGGGGCGTGAGAGATGTTGCACGTATTCATTATCCCTCATGTACAGACTCAATCAAACCGAGTCTGCAATTCTCTTATAATTTTGTTGTAATTAATGCTTCCGAGGGATCACATTGTTTCCAGATTTTTATCTTAAGTTATTTTTGATATAATATGTCCTACTACAAAGTACATGGTCAAACATTTAGCATGAAATCAAACAAAATGTAAAAAAAGATATATCTCTGGTTTGATTCTAATTGTAAACATACTATAAATATTTGTATTGTGACAAAAGAGTTTTAAGAGCTGTCCCGTCTGAAAGTCGAATAAGACAAAAAACGAATGTCGACTTGAATGTTGTGCTTAATGTCAAGCCATTTTCACATCAAAGCTCACCATTCAAAAAGAAAACAAAAACTGAATGTCGAGCTGAATGTTGTGATGTATGTTTAGCCAAATCATATTCAAGCTCGACATTCAAACAGAAAAAGAACGAATGTCGAGCTGAAGGTTGTGCTGAATGTCTAGTCAGCTTCACATCTCAGATCGACTTTCAAAAAGAAGTCAAAAGCCGAATGTCGAGCTGATTGTTGTACTGAAAGTCTATCAAGCTTCACATCCAAGCTCGACATTCAAAAAAGAAGACAAAAACGAATGTCGTGCTGAATGTTGTACTAAATGTCTAGCCAGGTTCACATCCCAGCTCGATATTCAAAAAGAAGTCAAACACCGAATGTCAAGCTGAATGTTGTGCTGAATGTCTAGCATTTTTCACATCCAAGCTCGACATTAAAAAATAAACAACAAATGAATGTCGAGCTGAATGTTGTGCTGAATGTCTAACCAGCTTCACATCAAAGCTTGACATTCAAAAAGAAGACAAAAACGAATGTCGTGTTGAATGTTGTGCTGAATGTCTAGCCAGCTTCACACCCCAGCTCGACATTCAAAAAAAAGAAGACAAAGTTAACGATGTTGTGCTGAATGTCAGTCAGCTTTACATCCCAACTCAACAATGATAAATCGAATGTCAAGCTGAATATCTTGCTCAATATCTTGCCAGCTTCCCATACCAGCTCAACAGTGATAACTCGAATGTCGAACTGAATGTGTAATGTCGATATCTGTGCCGATTGCATGGATCTTTGATCAAAACATCTAAACAGAGTTGCTTCATTATTAATTGTTCACAAAAATCAGAAATTACTTCGTTACTTTGTGAGTGTATAATTATATAGTTGTAAAGAAGTAAAGGCTCGTTGTATGATAGTGATAATATTTTATTATGCCTGCGCTTCAGTCAAAGCTAATACATGTACAGTGGGTGTTGTAAACTGTGTACTAATTATTGTCTCTATTTTCTGCTTCTTTGTGTTCATATTCAAAGCAGACTGGGATAGATAGATAGATACATTAAACATTGAATCTTATAAATATAATTTTTACAAGTCTTATAAAGTCAAAAATTTTAATTAAATGATGCAATATAAAATGTGAAACTAAAATTTAGACAAGTTTTCTTCCTTAGCGTTTACCGTTTGCAAATCTAAGACATGCAATGTAAAATGAAAGCTGTGGCAATTCATATAAAATATCAATTTAAATACAGATTTAAGAAAGTGAAGTATTTTTTAGTATTTCAATTTTTGCATGCTTCAACTTATACTCAAAGAAAATAGAAGAATGGATATGCCTTATGTTTTATGTATTTTCACATTTTGTTTTAAATATGTATATTGTATGTCCTAAAATTATCTGATTTGCGAATTATTCTATTACTTCTGAAAAGTAAGGCTTTATTGTTTGAAATAATAGTTTTCGTTTGATTTCAGAAGCCAGAAAGCACGGAGCGTCTTATTCAATCCGTTAAAATAACAATCACGTTACGTTTACACCCCTTTGTAATTTGATAAAGATGTTATTTTTATTGCAATAACGTTGAATGCTGGCGTTAATCAATACCAATGTGATAAGTTCGTTCTTATGTTTAAACATAATAACATAGTAGACTAGTACCGAAAATAGAATATTGTATACTTAGTATAATATACTCAACATTATCGAGTGTGGTATATGGGTTGATATTGATTAGTTTTGTTTTTTTTTTCTGATGAAAAGACAACGTTAATATTGCCTTATCTTTTTGTTAAACAAGTAAACGAAATGTAATTATTACCTATTTAAGGTCTTCTTTTGCCCTCATGCACTTTCATATATGTAACCCTTTTGCAAGTTATAAAGTTGTCAATTAGCTTAAATTGAGAAAATAAGAATCAGTGAAGTGCGTCTAAAACGGCAAATTAAAAAAAACTTTCAGCCGATATAGAGTAGATTTTAACACTTAACATGGCGCAACAAACATTTACTCGATTATTGGTAGGGCAATTTGGCTATATCTGAGTTTTTTTATAAGAAAATATTATTTGACTTCGGTACCGCACAATATGTTTGTTTCGTAGCTTTTTATGAAATAGGTAATACAGCGTTAATGTTTCCTTCTCGACATTATGTCGGAAAAGTACAAATGTTACATAAAATCAATTGACAAAACCAAGACTACACTTGGCACAGCAAGGCCATTTCTCTTAGTATTGTATCAATTTATTGTTAAACATCATTTGTAACAAAAAAGATTAATTCAAAGGGAAATTAATACCAAATTTAATGCATTAAAAGAAATAACCTTTTAGCTCAAAACACGCAACTTATTATTAAAGGTAAATAATTGTATGCGCTCTAAATTTCTTCTTAGCGATGAACAAGAAAAATGCAGTTAAATTCAAATGAGATGTAATCGTACTTAATTGTGACCGACGGACGGGCAAAGGCGTTTATTGCTTGTTTAATATGCACGGTATTTTGTACGCGTGACAAAACACGCCATTATCATAACCTCAATCCCGTTGTGGTTTCTATCTCGCTTTCTTTTCTTTTTTACTGGCTCTTTTCTTTGATTGGGTTTTACGTTTAACAAAACAGTGATGTCAGATGGTGACTAATCAGCCTTATTGTTTTTTCCCTTACTTATGATATTTTTCTGGTCCTTCGGAATCACTGATGCCAGCACTATTGAGTGTTGATACTTGAGTACCGCTCAAACCGGTGCTCAATCAAAACGAGTCTGCAATTTTCATGTAATTCTGTTGTGATTTATGCTTCCGATGTAATTATGTAATTATTATAATAATAATAATAATAATATTAATATCATTGTATGCAATCATTACAAATTGATTTTCCCTTACCAGTGCGTGCGTGCGTGTGTGCGAGCGTGTCCGTGCGTTCCCATGTTGTGTCACATGTAGCACTAAAATGCATGATCATTAATCAACAAACTTTACAGGAATGTTGATCAGCATGTGAAGTTCTGCACCTAGTGGTTCACGTGTGTATTTATTCAGTTTTCAAAAGTGTTATAATTATTGCACTTCACAATTTTCTATTCGTGTCGCGCGTAGCTTTATAAGCTTTTTACCAGGAGTCATGAATCTTTACAGGAATGTTGATCAGCATGTGTATTTTTGCCCCTGGGGTTTGCATTGTGAATTTATTCAGTATTTGCCTTACCTTAGTAGAAGATTTGCAATTTTT